GATAGAAGCGGGAAAATGTAACATTATTTTATATGGGATGTATTCGGGACCGAACAAAACGGACGATGCATCCGGGAAAACGATAGTTCCGGGAACGATGGATAGAGGTTTCACTGTATAACAGTTTTCAGCGGAATTGGCGGCTGAAGCGTGCACCAATCACATGTACTGTGCCTTGGTAGGAAATAAAGGTAGGAAGTGGAGGGCAAGAAAGTGAGGAAACAACATACAGTGGTGCCAGATGTAGCATCGTGGAACACTGGTTTCGAGTGAACGGTTACATCACTATGCAAAGAACACATGAGAACTTGCAACAATGCAGTGTGGTTGCTGATACTTCTATCACGCGGTTTTTGAACAGACTGAGGTCTAGCTGCTTACCAACAGACCTTCTTTGTGCTGATTGGCCACTCACAAAGAGCAGAACTTGACTCAGCCGCCAATTTCGCTGAAAAGCTGATGATTGAAACAAGAACATTTCATTGTGAAGAAGATTCCAACCAAAATTCTGTACAACCACCATAAATCATTACTGTAAAGAAGCAGGCGAGGGAATTATCTGTTGCATGATTGATAATTTTCTGTAATTGAACAAACAAGGTAGAAAAGGTAGAAAAGTCAATTATGATACCAAAAATAAACAGCAGTGTTTTACCTTAAGCAGTATTCATCTTTATGATGAATTGTACTCTCTGCATTTTCTCTGTTTGCTTTGTTTTTCCTTTCACGTTGTGTGTTGACTGCAATCTCACGTGCCTGATTGTTACTCCATTTGCTGGAAGAGTTGCTCTTCAAAGGCTGAACAGACCCTTTCACACTTTTATCTTTTTCGACTTCATTTTCGTCAAAGTCATTAACTGACCTGCAACAAAATACTTAATGAAAATTTAGATATAGAAGTTACCTGTCTGCTTCACATCTGGGAATTCACAGGCTTGAGTCTCAACCTGGAAGACAGGAATAATTGTATAATTATTTTATGACTTTCCTCAATATGTCCAAAAAATGCCAGAATGGTGTCTTCCACACCATTCCGTGCCATAAACCTATGCAGATTACATAGCATATTTAAATGAACCAAAAATCAATCAAGTGAACAAAATCGTACTTTTGTTTCCTCAACATGATACCTTGGAAAAGGAATTTCAATGGTGCAAAAACACACAAACATACCACAGCTACCCAGATCAAGTTGATATTTATTCATATTTGCTATGTCAAAAACAAATAACCATCTCATATTCATACAACACTGAAAAAATTGTTGTGTTATACATAGCTAAAAGTAGTCAACATATTTTAGTTGGCTATTCACAAGGGCTCACTTCTGAATGCTTTAATAGTAAAACATAATATATAATAGTTCACAGCAAAGATGAAACTATGGTTTTTGCAGGATGTACCTGATCAGAGCAGTTTATTACCTATGGTTAGAAAATAATGGAATGGAAAACGTATGTTGTAGGGAGAGCTGATATAATGCTTCTAAATATGCAAGGTAAAGAACACATGAGGAATTTCTGTATATTCCAGTATGGAGTACACTTTCCTAGTTTGTTTTGTATGTGTGTGATGACTCATGGCAGAATCACAGAACAGTGGAGAGGTGTGCAGGTAAATAAATCACTGATAAATAAATACAAACATGGATACTCAAAGTAGGATTTAGACCAGTAACCTTACACTTTGATTAACTCAAAACTGTGCATGCCTTTAAGTGATCAGCAGGGGGAAAATTAAAATGAAAGCATTTATGTATTACTGTACTATAACTTCTGTTTCAGAGAACTGAGACAGATAGCAAATGTATGTGTTAAAGTGTAACAAAAAACAAATGACATGTGGAAGACACTCTTTTGGAGCTGGTAAAACTAGTTTTCACACAATGGAATTAAACAGCAATCAGTAACTGTGACACTATATAAAAGTATATTACTTAGGCAAATGAACAAGATAGTAAGTTATTTGTTCAATAAAATAATTATTTTTGCAATTTTCTTTTCTTCTTATTTTTGAACTTGCAAATTTTAGATAATCCATGTAAAAGGAGTTGGAGCCGGGATAGCTCAGTCAGTATAGTGACTAGCTATGGGCTGGACAGCCAGGGTTCGATCCCCGACAGGGGCAGAGGATTTTTCCTCTAGCCTCTGCGTCCAGACCGGCTCTGGGGCCTACCCAGCCTCCTCTACAATGGGTACCGGGGTCTTTTCCCGGGGGTAAAGCACGGCCGGGGCGTGATGCTGACCACTCACCCCCATCTAGTGCCGAGGTCAAGAA